TTACAGAAACGGAGAACCATGGTATGAGATTTCTCAACGTGCTTAATGTATATTATGAATACACTGTGTATCATGCACGCCCTTTTCACTTCCTACATCTCACCTTTGGGGATATGTGCTGATGGTGTCTCTCCCGGTAGCAAGACGCCAAATGCTATGTGAAATTATATCATTTAAATGCTTTATTTGCCCTTACAAAAGGGCAATATTGCCATTTCGGTACAACTTATTCCGCCGGTTGGCTACTTATCACTAAGCATGGCGTAAGAGGAAAACGCAATTGCTATCTCGACGTAAATATGGACAAACGTTTTCCAGAAATAACAAAAAAAGCAAAACCAATAATAACAAAATCGCTCAATACAATTTTATCCCATTAACATTTGAATGTGTTTGGATTTTGTTTTATTCTCATAAATAATGTTTGGGGCTTTTAAAATGGAAGTATTGTCATATTTAACACGCTAAATAAAGCAATATTGTACACACACAAAATAAAATTGGCACAATAATGTTGCCCACTACAGTAATGGCATTTCCCCCCATTTATGAAAATGTTCCAAACATCCACTTGAAAGCTTTTTCGAATGATAATTATTTACTTTAACCATTAAGCTGGAATGCATGGCCGATTTGTAAAAGTATATTTTCCGTCTGGACATTGCACTGGCAAAGTGTCATCTGCCATAACAAAGAGACGATTTCTCCATGTGCTTAGGGGATACATGATGATCAATTCCTATGGCAACTCCTCATTAAAACGAACTAACTATGCGTCCTTTACATACATATTACACCGTTCTATCCTCAAAAACCTCAAGTAGGTACGTAACCCTCATCTTGGTTCTTTCGGTAAAGTCACGTAGAAGGGAAGTAATACAATTATAAAAATAAAACATAATAAAATAAAATAATAGTGAGAATTATTTCATTTTATTATGTTTTATTTTTATTATTTTATTACTTCCCTTCTACGTGACGTTACCGAAAGAACCAAGAAGATGAATCCCTGCAGTCACGAAAGCTTTAAATCGAAATTTAGGTACGTAACGTATGAAGTAAACAATTTTTGTAATGCCGTAGATGCATTCACATTAATTCAGACGTGTGTCTTGAAACCAAAGAGTATGTGACTATTGAATAGGGCCACTGTGGAACTAAACTGCTATTTAAAAAAATACGTCATATCCACTCACTCTGTATATAGTTAACGGTGATTTCTTGAGCCTTCTTACATTTTATATAAAGTGATTGCGATAAAAATAAAAATCACGAACAGATAAATGCATGCGCACTCCTTACTCGGATGAGAAAATGGTAGACGGTTAAGGAGAGCCGGCGGGGATTGCGTTGGGTTTGCACTCACACACCAACAGCCTCCTACATTTCACTGTGTTCTTGTAGCCTTTAAAAATATGCCCTCGTCTAAGTAACAAAAATGCGCGAAAGTGCGATTATGATGATGACAATACTCTCTCTCTCTCTGCGGTGCGTCCTTTTGTGCGCGTCCCTTGTGTGCAATTAACACTCGCGCCTTCTGAAACGCGCTGTGCCCGAGTCAGAGTCTCGACTCTTGACAACTCTCTCGAAGTTGCCGGAACATTCGGTGCGATGAACGGCGCTTCGAACGCTCTCATTAAGTCACACGCCTGAGCAATGTTCACGTCCCCACGAACATGGGTCACCGCATGATGGCTGCATCTAAGCGCAATGCAACTGTTGGAGTGACACGGGCTAGAACCCGGCTGAATATCTATACACATTGGCAAATTACTAAAGGTGGACTAAGATCAAACTATTGGCGAAATAAAGAAGCGAACAACAGCAGAATAGAGTACTTTTAGAAGGATGGGATTAATAATGAACATCAGTAAACTACAGCGCCCGAAGGTGATACGTTTCAATCACTGCACACTGCCATTTGATGGCATCTGAATACGAACTGTGCACGCTGACAAAGAAGGCGTAAGAAAATCGTGAAAGTGGAAAGGCATGGAGAGATGCACTCTTGAAATTACTCTGACAGACAGAGAAAAACACAGATTCGGAGAACGAATGCAACATCGCAGACATCGCGTTGGACTGTATTGACGTGGTCAAGAATGGTAAGGGTGCTTGGGAAGGACGAAAGTCGACGGACAAGGCCAGTAATGGAATGGTAGCTGAACGAGAAAATGCACCCGAGAAGACGATCACGTGGGCAGATAGAGCAATGCGATCAGTTTAAGTGCAGGAGTGCAACAGTTTCCAGATTCGCACGGCCGTGGAGTGCTCGTGACAATTGTAGGGAGTCTTTTATCCATCAATGGTTAGACCATGGATTCTGATGATGATGATGATGGACACCACAACACCTTTGCAAACGCATTGTCCAAAAGCGCACAGCGGCTACTTTGATCAGTTCTGGCTGTGTCTCGGTATGCATTAACAAACAACACTGCTCTATTTATTGGCCTCATTCCACTGAGTCTATGAAGTAAAAGTTTGCCACACAATCGTTCACAGTACAATGCGTCATTATAATCCCACTACAAACCAATGCGTTCGTAGCGATATTAATTCTTGACGACTCACAAGCGTAAAACTTTACATCAACAACAGGGTTCGAGATGGAAGCATTCGTATACAAGGCATTTGTTTTCTGTAAATGACAGATAGTATATACATAGCTAAGTTTTTGCATTTTTTTGGTATTATTCTCCAAACAATTAAAATGGGTATTGCATGTTCTATCATGTATTGAAATATTCCGATACATGTCCTTGAACAGTTGTCAACATGCGCACTCTGGAGCCAGTGTTAACAAAGTAAAGCGTCCAATCGCCCATTCATTTGTTTGTGTGTATGTGGCATTATTATCAAAGCCCACGTCTATTGCGATGTATAAGTTATAGACCATGTGGCATCGTTTCTAAGAGCAGCGGACACCATGTGCCAAAATACCAACCCAAATTCCAATAAAAAATGGCAAATAATAAAACGCGACTGCCATTATGTAACCGGTTATAGCATATTGGTTAATGATGTTTTTTTGACATTCTAATACGTGCATCTATAAACCACATAAATATGATTAGCCACGTGAACACTAGTTAATTTCGTGTGTATCACAAAGACAAATAATTATGTCATATATTTTTTTCACTACCACAAATTGCACGTGTTTGAATTGCGTGCACATGCGGCACGAACATGAAACGGTGAGGAAATGTATATATTCTAAATTGAGGGTTGTGATTACTCACCACCAGCTAAACAAGACATTCAATTAAAAGCGGTGAAATTATACCGTACGATTATCATTTCATTCAACCTTATCTGCAAACACCAGCCTGCCACATACAGCAACACTGTACCCTTAATCATTAAGCCTTAATGCAACCGCACTTATATTCATTAAATAATACGAGTGTTAAACGTACGCCTTCTAATTAAAGTAGACGCGTAATATGCGATGTGTTTACCAGTGGAAATGGAACAACCACTGGCTGCGATTTTAGTTGCGAGCAAAGCCATAATTGTGTTTTCAATCTCGGGGTACTTTAAACACATTTCCTTTGGAAAAATTGTCTCGTATGGTGTGCATACTTCATACGTGTCTTGTTATGTACACACGACATGAATTAATACGTACGACCTGTAAGCTACGGGTTTGACATCTCAGGTGACAATCCACGCAAATTTAACAAAACACAAGGTCGGTTTATCTATTTCATGCATGTCGGCATTTAAACCTCGACACTACACACGCTGCTCGTTTGGGACCATTGCATTTTCATTTAATTATCCTACAGATTTTAATTAAAACAAATGCCTTACATTAAGTTGCGCGTCTTATCGCCTAGTATTAGCTGCTATTCTACTTTAAGATAATCAACCTCCCGGGGAACATTGCATTACAGTATTTGCATATGATAATAATTGATTGTCTAATCCCATTTCATTTCAATACACTGACACAGCTTGAGAGTTTGGAGGCAACCAATGCATGTGACAGATGAATCGCGAAGTGCTTCCGGTGAACTGTGTAGAATTCCAGGTATGTAGCGTATGTAATAGGTGTGTGTGGAGGTGTGTGTGTAGGTGCGTCTCATCCTACTTGGCGACACACACCTGTAATGTTTCACAATCAATGTAAACTCTCAGCTTTGCTTTAAATGGCACTTTGATTAAATAAAGGCGTATCTCATCGACGTGAAAAGTACTTTATCAGCACACGCATACAACTGGAGTGATCTCTATGCAGTTTACACATCCACAAAAGTAAATATACATTTAGCACGTGCGCGTGTTTATATATATGGCAGCCATTAGAGATACAACATATGGAGGTACAGGACTGTGACTTGTATGCTGTGGTTGCCTAAGTGATTGTATGTATGTGTATATATAGTTATTTCATTTTGCTTCTGCACATCATCTAAAAACAGGCCAAACATACACATAACCCCCGGCTAATTAATATAACATTGGCACAGATGCACGCACAGACCGAGATCACCGACTAGCATACACATAGGCCACGTTTTAATTGCATAATTGAACAACAATGAACTTACATGAGCGAATGCAGACAGGCGATGACACACGAAGACATATGCAAACGCACAATTAAACCGGTCGAGATACACGCGTATAAAATCACGCACCAACAGTGCAGACACACACACACACAGACGCTGTATTTACATACACACACGCGTACAAGGTATGTAATGTAACACTGTTGTGGATGTCTTCACAGCGTCCTGCGGAAACGAAGGCTTGCAATAATACAATCCTTTGTAATTACTCAACAGCATTGCCCTTCTGCAATGTCAGTATGTGTGAATGCGTGTTTGCAGTTATACACGCATTTCAGGCAAATGATAGTTCAGAGACCACGCATAGATACAATGCAACGTGATGTGCCCACTGTTCCACTGCGCACACGATTACGATAATTAGCTACGTTCTACTAAGTGGCGTGTGTGTGTGTCTGTGCGCGTGTGCCTACTTACGTTTGATTTGACGTGGGTTTCGCTGCTTCCGCCTGGACATGTTTAGAGACTGGGAGATTTAGGATTCTTTACGAGATACGGAGAAACTGAGCGAAAACAGAGAGCAAGAGACGAACAGACGCAAAGAAAGCAGAGACAGACGCGCGCACAGCGAAAGATAGACACGACAAAGACACACACACAAGCAAGGAGAACACAGACACGGGCACAAAGACACAGACAGAAGCTCCTGACACCTATAAACAATTGGTAGACCACGGCAGAAAGACGTCAACAGCGGTGCCAAGAGCAGCAACAGTGGCAGCAGCAGCAGCAGAATCTTGCCGGAGCAGTGGCTGACACCGCTCTCGCTCGCAATGAATGGGTGACGGGGAGTGGTGATGGGGGGGAGGGAGGTGGGAGGTAGGATGCACACTGAGGAGGAGGAGGAGAGAGGGAGATGGGGTAGCCGTGCTGAGATGGGAGGGGGATACTGTGGATCCAGACTCTTTGCCTGCGTTACAGTTTCAAATGCACGTGTGTGGAGGCGTACTGCAGATAAGTGGTGGGTTCGTGTAATTATATGCACCGAAAGCTGCGTATTAAGTGCACAGGTGCATGTGCTTATGTACCCTACATAGGGCTGGGATGATGTGTATGTACGAGTGTTCAGTATGTGTGTGTGTGTTTGTATAGGTGTGGTGGGGGGCGCATATGTGTGTTGACTGTTGAGCATAGGTGCGATTGCTATTCGAGTATGTATTCGCTGATGATGTATTTGCTGTTTTCGAGTAGATGTGCGAGGTATGTGTGGACGTTTAGTATTCTGTGAGTGCGTATGGTTCATATGCATGGATCAATGTACATATATAACGTACATGCGTAGTTACGAGAATAACGCACAGCTCTTTCTCTATCCACTGCTGGATGGAGACTTTCCCCACCCCGCGTCGGCCTTGGGACGGGTTGTTTGACCATACTTCACCAGGCTGGTCAATGCCAGTGGGTGAGAGGTCTCGACCGGTTCGGATATCACTTGCCACTGACGATACCGTGCACCGGGAATGGAACTCATCAAGGGTTCCGATTTCATCATCACTGCACCACCGCTCCTAATCACTGCACCACCGCTCATGCCGCCTCCACATGGAGATATCACTGTTGTTAACTGTGATACTATCTGGGTAAGTTCAGCTTGTGTGTGTATAATTGAATGGTAATTATATGCAACGTATACATTAAACTTATGTATGTATCGGTACGGTTCCGTTATATATGTGTGTGTGTGTGTAGGAGCAGAAGGTAGGAATCTGAAGATCGATATTTGTCTTTTTAAAGCAACCGAACAAGCTTCGATCCTTCATCCAGCAGTTGATCAAGAAAAGGCAGGCATATATTGTTAAAATAAGCGCTTAAATGCAACTGCGTATGTCATATGTATGAGTTGGCTACGTGTATGTTCATGTGACTAAGTGTCACTTAGGTTTATTGCAGGTACGTGGATTATGTATTTTGCACTACTTTTTGCCGTGCGTCTGTCGTGGAAATTCCACATTCCCATGGCAAAGGGGAGTATTTCCATCAGACTGGTGTTGATACATGTCTTGCTATATATGTCCTATATCTGTATATTGCATCAAACAAATTGTTTTTTATATGTACAGATGGCATTGTTTTGGTGATCCTCCAAAACTGGGCTTGATATTTTAAATCTCTTGAATATGCAGTACTGCCATTAAATTGCATCTCTATTCTATGTCCGAGTTATTGCAGATATCGTAAGTGAGGAGGAGGGATTGATATTGAATTGACGAAGGTTATAGATCATATTTGAATATTATATACTTTACTAAATACTATAATCCATTATTTTAAACATGTTTTTTTTCACCGGCTACATAATTTTATTATTTGCAGTTTAACTTCAGCAGATTATAATAACAACTTAATATAATTCGGAATTTTTTTTTCGTTTGTGCTGTTCACGCGTAAATACGTTTTGTAAATTTACACAATACGGGTATTTAGAAAACAAATCCTTCGTTTCTGTTGAAAGCTAGGATTAATTTCTTAATTTCATTCAATAAAAAAACGCATGACATTTGTTCAATACATCATTGTGTAAAACGTACAGTCCTTTATAAATACAATGGTGGACGAAATTCCCTCCACGCCATGCCAGGCATTGACCATACTTCACCACACTGATCAGTACGAGAATGGTGACATGATTGCAAGTCTGGTGCGATGTGCAAACATCGCCACTAGGGGAGACAAAGGCGGCCGAGCGTGGTGCTGTGTCCACCCCACCCCCACCGTTTCCGTGTCCCCGTGTCGTGCTCGCAAACAGCACTTGTCCTAGCAATCCGGCGACACGAGGAATCTTTATCCTTTCTTGGCGGGGGGAGGGGTGGTGTTAGGGGGGGTGGGAGGAGGTCCAGGAGCCGTTCGGATGCAATGAGACACGGACCCCGCGGTCGACAATCCAACTCAGGTCCCGCCAGGTTCAAAGCGCAGTCCCACCAGCTACTCTGCCACCTCTCTCGTTGTATCACTGCGGCGTGGACAGTGGCACGGGCGAAGGACAAAGGCTGCAAAGTGTGCAGAGAGGTGCGCTTGATAAGGTGGTGGTCGAGATTGCAATTTCACCGAGAGACAAACAAACAAAAAAAGCCCGCATGGATCAAAGAACATAGGCGAGTTGGAGACATATTGACTGCATGACAATTCGGTAGACAGCTTTATTTGCATGCAGTGATGAAGGGCAATTGCCTAAAACGTTGCCTGTTATTTATTGCATTTATTTCGACACTGTTATTGACGTAGGTGTTGACGTTTTTGTTGTTGTTGTTGTTGCTATTTGTGCATTTGCACTACTTGCCAACGCAGCGGTACCAAATAATGCGCTTAATTTCGGTAGGATTAAGTGTCGATCGTGATGATGATGGCATTGGTCGACGATGAATCAACGGAGTGGCAGCCAAATCAGTGATGGAGCAGTCTGCTCTGCCCACGCGCAGAACAAGCCGCGTGGGAAGAGTCGCATAGCGGCACCACGATCGCGTGGGGAGTCCTAGCGTCATCCGGCAGTCGATAAGGTCACGGCTGATGACCGTATAGAGAAGAATTTGGCAACCAAAATAACAACGAGATATATATTTCTCATTCGGTATATAAATAACAACAACAATAAAAACTCAACACTTCAAGAGCCACCGATGCACGTGGCGAATCCGAGACGGTGGGTCCTTCATAATCAATAAAAAATATCGGTCACAATGCAGTCACTTTAAACAGTCGCGGCTTTGCCGACCTCCCGTATCGAGCGTGATTGCAAATCAGCGGTCAGGTGCAACGCACCAAACCAAACAGCCGTCATCGGGGAGCTTTGCAACGCTAAGCCCAAGGGCTCCAACTGCAACGTCCCGCGCCAGTGTTGAGACCCCCCCCCCTCCTTGTTTGAAGACTCTGCAAAGTGAACTGAAACACCGCAGAGAGCGCCGCTGAAAGGGTGACTTCGCACTCCTTGGGGAGTTTCTCGTTCAGGAAGCTTTCGCACTCATGCGAGACATCCCCGGACGACACAGCCTTCGGTGTACAGCTAACAGGGTAAAAATATATATACACGTTTCATCCGTGGGGGATGCGTCTTCCTCGAGGTATGAATTGACAACCCACGAGGTTCCGTTTGTGTCTCCGTAAAGCCTTCATATTGTGCATTTTACTGGTAGGAACCTCCTGGTTACACCAACCCACAGGGGATTATTGTTTCCGTCCGTCGTGCAGGGAGGGGCTGGGTGGGGAGGGAGGGGCTGGGTGGGGAGGGGAGGGTGGGGAGGGGTTGGGTGGGGAGGGTGGGGCTGGGTGGGGGGTGGGAGGGGTGGGGCTGGGTGGGTAGGGGCTGGTCACCCCGTGGTGCCCTTATAAAGCTCAACGTTTAACCTACTCACGCCGGCTTGTGCCCGCCTCACAGTCGAGCATATTTGCGGAATACACCACGCCGCCGTTGACCCTGCAGGCCATTGACCGAGCAACCCAACGTTCCTACCAGCTCCCTCCGCAGGAATGTATTATGTGTAGCTCATGGGATGCTGTCGTCTCGCAATGGTTAGAACACCGGCCTTCGATCTCCTGCTGCGCGGCAGTGGAAACAATGGCCAATTGTTTGTAAATAACCCCATCCTCACCCCACGCCTTCGCCTCTGTCCACAAATCAGGAAATATGCAACCACAGGACGTCAGGCAGAAGCGCACGTGTGGTGGTGGGGTGTAAAGTTTGCACGCTCTTTCCACATCTACCAAGACGTCTGCGCCATCGTGGAAGGCCATTCCAAATCTCCCTCAAGCGGAGACCCTTCTCATTGGTGTCGGCCAATGAGGGGAGATGTTAACTACCTCGCCTGGTATACAAGGAGGTGGCGGGTTTGATACCGACCCTGACGCCTGTTGTGTATTTGGAGTTTGCGTGCTCTCCACGTGGTCTCGTGGATTTGTCTCCGGGTCCTCCAGGTTTTTTTCCCTCCACATTTAGAAACATGCGCTGAGAGCATTTCGGTGCTATACATTTCCACATGATAAGCCACTTCGTTGAGCTATCATTTGTGGTGAGGTCACTTCTGAAAAATAGCTCAGTGGGCCTTACCTAGAAAAAGAAAACGTTTAGTTCAGAGCGAGCAATTCCAGGGCTACACTTGCATCCCTCCCCCTTGTTGATACAGAAGTCGAACTCGGAGGTGACGATGTGTAGATGCGTTGAGCTCACGACCCCAGTCACAAAGGCTTGCTTCCCCCGAGTCATGTCCACCCGTGTGGGGCCGTCCATAAATGACGTCACGCGATTTTGGACGATTTTTGACCCCCCCCCCCCCCTCGTCACGTGGCGTCACAAAAAGTCAGACCCCCCTCAAATATGACGTCACAAAGCTCTGCCCCCCCCCCCCCCCCAAAAAAAAATAAAACATGCTTCAAATCGCTTTAAACTATTGTCATTGTAGTGCGTATTTAATGTGGCGCTGCGCTGCACTCTGATGTTGTAGGAGAAAACTTTTACTAAAAAGTATATTTAATTAGGTAGAACGTGTTGTCTATATTTATTTAAAGTTGCGCATTTTGATGTGACGTCACATTTCTCACCCCCCCCCCCCCCTCATCGTCACACATCGTAACAAATGTCTGACCCCCTCCAGGTGCGTGACGTCATTTATGGACGGCCCCTATCCACCAATACTGGTATCTGAACCTGGTTTGGAAGGCATACCCAAGTTGGATCCGGCCTAACGTGGAGTACCTTGATTCAGTGAGTGCAATGTTGCTTCGGCGATGCTCACGATA